CTCACCCATCGTACGATTTTTCAGTTGGTGTATCCTCTAGAGATGCTCGCAGCCAGGGTGGCGGAGTTGGGGTTGACAGCGAAGCCCGAGTGGGTGTTGAGCGTTGGAGACGATGTGGGTTGTAGTTGTGCCCCCCCCCACTACCATCTCCATTGCAGGTCGCTGCTGGCTTTGCCTCCCTGATGGGCAGCCACATCTCTCATTGTGTCGTGCGAGGCTCTTTACCTGATCTCGGAGCTCAGCGAGTAGGTGTGTGGACTATACATGGGCAGCGTTAGGGCTTCGTTACGCTTTACGTTATAGTGCGCGTAACGTTAGTAGTTTACGATTAAGGGAAGGGCTCAAAGCGTAACCGTCAGAGTGAGCCGTAACGCTCCGTACCGTAACTCTGCCCATTTATAGTATCGACTGCTGGGACGGTGTCACGTCCCATTGACAGGTCCTCCCTGGAAAACACTTCCTCATGATCGAGGACTTTGTGGACGTATCTAAACCGGTGAAATTCCATCAGCTCGCGACCAGCGTTTCGGACCCGTTCGGTGATGACACTGATGATGCATTGATTGGACAGGCCAGTGACAGTTAGGGCAGACGTATAGGGGCTCTCTGTATGCGAAGTTCTCCCCGCAGGCACAGGAGGGTCTAAGAATCGTGTCTTGAAGATGGTATTGACCGATGGTTGCCGTAGTGTTACGGCTATAGAGGTGATCCCTATTGTGGACATACCACAGCAACTGAGCAGACTGCCTGGTGCAAAGCTATTGATATCAGGTAGGGTCGATGAAGCTTGTACATGCATGATTCGTGCCTCGTTGTAGGATCCCCTGATGTCTGTGCGAGCACTTTGCTACTGTACCCATGCCACGTGAAATTCCTCGGAGGCTCTTGTCCGGAGTTGCAGCTACGTTACAAACAGAGTCTGGCGGAGAAAATTGCCAGAGCTGATCCACTACGACTCGCACCGACGGATCCCGAGACGAGACCCACAGAGAGCACAGCGACCGTCGCAGATAGCTCGCAGTCAAGAGTGACCGAGATTGCTCCTAGTGCATGTATTCGGCCGACTGTGAACGGCTCGCTTCGTCCGATGCACAGCGGAACGGTGCCTCCGTTGAATAGAGCGAACACTCTTCCTGTTTTTGGAGTGAAAAATGAAATGCCTGGGTCGACTCTCCAGCGGCACATGTCATCCACGGCGACGACATCTTATCGGAGTTATGCCCTACAGGATGGTCAACCTCGGTCGAACCCCTTTCCAATTGGGGACAAGACCACTCCGACTTGCGAACCAACTTTTGATCAAATCCTGACTAGGACCGACGGTGCTGTATTCGGTAACAACCATGGTATTCCCAGTGGGAGCTCGTCCGGTGCGGCGATTTGTTCACTGGAAACGTCCGGGACTACCACACAAGCTTCGGAGATGGACAGGGCCAGGCCGGTCCACAGTTACGTGCGGACCCCTCCGAAGAAGCGGCCTCAGAGCGGTCCTTCTGTTGCGCCAACGTCACCAACAAGATTCTCAAGCGGAGCGGTACGGAAACGAGCACGAAGAGCTGAAGGGTCGGTGGTATCTGTAACCCAATCGATGCATGAAGGAGTACAACCGATCCTCGAGATCACCCCGCAGAGTGCGATCACGCTTAGTAGTTGTGGCGAAGAACCGGTGCCGACACAAGCGCAGGATGACGACGATATGACGGGTT